TGCTGCCCCTTTATAATTAGTTTGAGATAAGTCAGGACATGCTATTAAATGATTAGATGACCTTTCATCTGAGTGGGGATTTCAGCCTGCTGGATTCCTTCAGAATCAGCAGGAAAAATGTTATTTCATTTCTGAAGGAGCAAAGGCAAAGGCAGCCTAAGAGAGAGCAAGTTGGACCCAAAACCGTACAGAGCAGCAAAAATGTAGGCGACTGGGGAAAGCATCCTCAGTTAACAAGAACAAAAACTGCTTCCAAAACGCACGTAATGTCTGAGTGCCCTGGGCACCAGAAACCACCCAAATCCCAGCTCTGCACGAAGCGTTGAGGCAGCTTTGAACGCTCCTGTTCATGTTCTGTGTTTCTTAATGCTAACTCTGGCCTTACAGCAAGGGATTTCAAAGCCAGGAGTCAGCTTTCCCCGCCTGTTACTGTTTTAACATCACCTCTAAATGGATGAGAGCTGAGGCTATCTCCTTGAGATCGCTCCTGTTGAGTGAAGACCCAGGGTGTCCCCTGCTCAGGTGAGAAGAAGCTGCCAGTGAGGTGACAATGGAGGCATTGCCATCCCCTGGGGCCCCACGAAGTGAAATCAAACTTGGAGATGGTAAATGCTCATCTCATGTCCTGAATCACAAACGCAGGCTCCAAACCCTTTATGCCTTTAATGCAATAAAAGCAAAGGCAGCTGTATACAAACCATTTGGCAGCAGCTGAATGTTCAGGGTATCTGGGACTCTATTAAATCTTTTATGTGCCATGTCTTGAGCAATACAGGACCAGCTGATGCCTGCCTTCTGCTGCGCAGATCTGGCAGCATTACAGACAATCTTTTCTAATGGCTGTATTTAACCACTGCAAATGTCCTTTGTGCACCGAGGCCCTGCATTATGCAGGGTGAGGACAAAGTAGGCTCTTTCTGCTCTCTTGCCTTGCTTCCCATTGTGGATCTGATTGAAAATGGATTCATTTTAAAACCCACTCTTGACTTGCTACCAGGCGGATGTTTATTCCTTGCCCAGGAGCAGATGCGCGAGTGCAGAAGCACAAGACAGAGGAGATTCGTGTTGGGGCACTGCTGTACTGGGGGAGAGGCGTGCCTCTGTCACCAGGGGCATTTTAGGAAGGGTTCCTGTGGCAAAGGACCTCAGCGGCTGAGCCTGGCCGGGGCAGCACCAACACTAGTCCTAATGTTGGAGGGCAGCTGCCCTCCCACTCTGAGCTCTGTGGGTCTTGGCTGGAGGAAGGACATCGCCACTGACACCCACACTGGTGCTCTTTTCCAGAGCACTTGACAGTGGCATTGCTCTGTATGTAGGTGATGCTGTGCTGGTTCAGAAAACTATTTATGATGGTTACAGAGCACAAGAAGTTTTCATCATTTTCTCATTTATTGTGCTAGGTTCCACTCTTGCTGCAGAGAAACAAGCAGCAAATGACATAAACCTCAAATGCAATAGCTGGTACGATACTGCAAGTGCCAGTCTGAAGAAAAAGAAATGAAACACGTAGAGAGATTCGTGAGCTTCTGGCCATCATGTGGGATGAGCTGACATCAGGAACCATGGTATCAGTGCCTGGTGGCTGATGTTCAGAGACGTGTTTTTAGAGAAATTCCATAGCAATGCCCATGTTTTCAGGTGCTGAGGCGCTGGCACAGGGTGCCCAGAGGAGCTGTGGCTGCCCCATCCCTGGCAGTGTTCAAGGCCAGGTTGGACACAGGGGCTTGGAGCAAGCTGCCCTATGGAAGGGGTCCCTGCCCGTGGCAGGGGCTGGAGCTGGAGGAGCTTTGAGGTCCCTTCAACACAAACCAGGCGGGGATTCTAAGATTTTATGTTTCAAAAGGCTATTGTTAGGTCTGGTCTGCTTGAAGAACTTATGAAGTTATTTTTGCCTGGTTTGTTAAATGTACAACCAGTTTATTGCCTGCTGCGGGCAGGGGTTGGATCCCGCTGGGGTCTGTAGGTAGTTCATTATCATTGTTGTTTGCACAGAGCACGGGGTTACCTCCTGCTTGCTGTTGTGAGCAGTCCCTGGCACTGCAGTTGATGGGCTTTGCTTTCTCATGGGCACGGGGCTGGGGACACCCATTCTCACCCTATAGCCAGAGGGGCTGGACACAGCTCTCAGGGTGAGACTCCTCAGCTCAAGTTGCCCATAAATTGACCCTTTAACGTGGGGTCTGAGGTGTGTGTGCAGTTACCTCAACCCAGAACTTCCCATAATTGTAATGACAACTGCAAAACAACCCCCCTAATTTCAGTGCCTGTCGCTAATTGGGATGTTTTCATCAGGCTAATGATAACCACCTATTACCGTGTCACCTCCCTGCTGCAGTGTGTCCTTGATGCTATGATATTGTGCACCATTAGCACTTGCAAATGGTTATTAATGGCAGCAGTCTGGATGTGCAGGAGAGTTCTGTGGCTCCTGTCTGTCTGCAGTGCTTGCACAGGGCCCCCTGTGCTTGCTCCTGTGCTGCGCGGCTGTGACCTGCTCCGAGGAGCTGCCAGCAGCATCCCCAGGCCACCCTCCCGTGAAGGCTGTGTGACCAAAATGCCAAACTAATTGTTTTGCAGAAGAAACACATCCAGTGCACTGTAATCAAGAGCCTGACTAATAACATAGAGGACAGCCTCATTGATTGATTGGTTGATTAATGATTGCGCAATGATTGCAGGGAATGAAATGATTACACGAATGTATACATGTACATAGAATCATAGAATAGTTTGGGTTGGAAAGGACCTTAAGATCATCCAGCTCCAACCCCCCTGCCATGGGCAGGGACACCTCACACTAAAGGGAGGGACACCTTCTCACCCAAGGCTCTGTCCAACCTGGCCTTGAACACTACCAGGGATGGAGCATTCACAACCTCCCTGGGCAACCCATTCCAGTGCCTCACCACCCTCACAGGAAAGAATTTCCTCCTTAGATCCAATCTAAACTTCCCCTGTTTAAGTTTTAACTCGTTACCCCTTGTCCTGTCACTACAGTCCCTAATGAAGAGTCCCTCCCCAGCATCCCTATAGGCCCCCTTCAGATACTGGAAGGCTGCTCTGAGGTCTCCACGCAGCCTTCTCTTCTCCAGGCTGAACAGCCCCAACTTCCTCAGCCTGTCTTCATACAGGAGGTGCTCCAGTCCCTGATCATCCTCGTGGCCTCCTCTGGACTTGTTCCAACAGTTCCATGTCCTTTTTATGTTGAGGACACCAGAACTGCACACAATGCTCCAGGTGGGGTCTCACGAGAGCAGAGCAGAGGGGCAGGATCACCTCCTTGGACCTGCTGGTCACGCTCCTTTGGATGCAGCCCAGGATACGATTGGCTTTCTGGGCTGCAAGTACACACTGAAGGTCCCCCTGGATGGCATTCCTTCCCTCCAGGGTATCAACCGAACCACACAGCTTGGTGTCATTGCAAACTTGCTGAGGGCGCACTCAATCCCACTGTCCATGTCATCAACAAAGATGTTGAACAAGACCGGTCCCAGCCCCGATCCCTGAGGGACACCACTCGTTACTGGTCTCCAGCCGGACATTGAGCCATTGACCACAACTCTTTGTGTGCGGCCATCCAGCCAGTTCTTTGTCCACCGAGTGGTCCATCCATCAAATTGATGTCTCTCCAATTTAGAGACAAGGATGGTGTGTGGGACAGTGTTGAACGCTTTGCACAAGTCCAGGTAGATGACATCAACTGCTCTACCCCTGTCCATCAGTTCTGTAGCCCCATCATAGAAGGCCACCAGATTGGTCAGGCAGCATTTCCCCTTATTATGTACACATGTATTGTTCATGTACACGCATGTACATGAATGATTGCATGATGTGAAATGTCATGAGTTCCCTTAAAAATAGTTACCTTGAGAACTCATTAGTTCATTTAAAACTGGTTACCCCAGGAATTAGGGTGTCATTAGGATCAGAAGAACCAAGGGAGGGCACCCAAAGCTGCAGGGAGCCCAGGCCAGCCTGGTGGGCTTGTGTTGGATTGTACTGGGTTATCCCAATGGATTAGGAACTGGTGGCTGCTGGTGGCCTGGCTCTGTGTGCTGGTGTGGGAATGGCTGTGAACATATCCCTGTTCCTAGTGGATAGGTACCATTGGTGGCTGCAAGCCTGGGCTGGGAGCACAGCAGGTTGCAACCCTGCAAAAGGCTTTAACCTGCCAGAGGGGAGACTGAGATGAGCTCTTAGGCAGAAGCTCTTCCCTGTGAGGGTGCTGAGGCGCTGGCACAGGGTGCCCAGAGAAGCTGTGGCTGCCCCATCCCTGGCAGTGTTCAAGGCCAGGTTGGACACAGGGGCTTGGAGCAAGCTGCTCTAGTGGAAGGGGTCCCTGCCCGTGGCAGGGGTTGGAGCTGGAGGAGCTTTGAGGTCCCTTCGGACCAGTCTGGGATTCCATGGAGCCCCGTGCCGGGAGGTCTGTGTCTTGCAAGGACAAGCACCCTCACATCTCCAGGGGCGCGGTGGTTGTGGTCATTGCTGTTAACAAATTTGCATGGTAATGACTTTCTGCTCAAGCAGAGGGGATTATTTTGACCTTTCCAAGCACCGCTCTGTGTGCAGGAGATGGGGGGCTGGCAGCCGGCGATGTGAGCAGAATGGAGTTGAGGCTGGGAGAGGAGCCCCACTGCTGCCTGAAGCTGGTCTCCGGTCAGAGGCAGCGAGCACAGAGCTCTCTCCCACAGCTCCCAGACACAGTCCCTGCTGGAAAGCTCTCCTGGAGCTGACTGCCACATCCTAGAGGAATCTCTTGTGTGAGTGAGTAGTTAGAAACAGCCTGGGTGTAATGGAGCCCAGATCAGGAGTGCACGGGCACTGCACATGGAGCAGGGATGCTTCTATCTGTAGATCCCACTTCCCAGCCCAGAGATCGGGAATACTGGGTAGGGGATAGAAGTGCTCAGCGGTGTGGGTCTCAGCCCAGTAAAGCAGCAAATGAGGATACAGAACATCTCACTATATATCTTTTTCCTTCCCCTTCTGCACCACTTGAGGTGTGCATCGTGCAGAAGAGAGACACCGAGAAGATGTACGCTATGAAGTACATGAACAAACAGCAGTGCATCGAGAGGGACGAGGTTCGCAACGTCTTCAGGGAGCTGGAAATCCTGCAGGAGATCGAGCACGTCTTCCTGGTGAACCTCTGGTGAGCAGCTCCTTCCCCCTGCCCTCCAGTGCTCTCAGAGCCACGTTCTGCCCATCCTCCTGTGGTCACAGGCATCCATGGGAGCATCCCAGTGAGTTGCTGCAGTGCAAGTCCATGGTAATGGGACGTGTTCAGGAAACAGCACGGGATGTACCCAAATGTTAGGGAACCAAACATTTCAGAGCAGCTCAGCTTCTCCTTTTCCATCCAACCCCTGTGCATGTGTTGGGTGTTTTTCACAGCCTCCTGCAAATGCTGCTGTCAGGTCCCTCCGAAGGGACCCCACTGCCCACTTAACCCTAAACCATTTTGTACCATGCTGTGCTGAGTCCCACTAAGGTGCCCCAGACAGTACAATGCTCCTGGTTAAAGAGATGGTCCATCTGATGTGCATGGAGATGCTGAGAGCTGTGAGAGTCTGTGGCGGATCCGACACTGTGTGGGGCCAGTTCCTGTAGCAAATAACAGTGTGAAAAGCCAAAGAAGCCAGCAGTTGTAGAGGTGATGATTCATAACTTTAATGAACACAAAATTACACAAAATATCCAGTGTTTCACACAGCATGTGGTCCCTGCAAAGGACTCAGACTTGCAGAGATTGACTGGTGGTTTAAATAAACAGATCCATCCCACAGGAGACTGACAGCAGTGGGGAGGCACCACAAAACAAGGCTCAGTTGTTATATTTGGTGACAGCATTTCTAAGGAGAGAGTATGTGGGATTGTGTAATGCTCATGAATCACTGCTCGCAGCCATAGCCAGTGTGCTCACTGGAGTTTCTGGGGTAGGTCTGAGCTTGGGTGGTTTAAAGCTGCCCTATCCCTGTCTGAGTCTGCACCAGCACTGCAAGGGCAGCTCCGCAGATGGAGACGGAGGGATGCTACTGCAGGGGACTGATTCGGTTGTGGGGAAGGCAAGGAGATCTCCTGCATCTCATTTGCACTGTGACTGGACAGGATGCGTTTCAAGAGCATTGCCAGCTAAAGCTGTTTGTTAAATCAGCCTGATTCGAGGAGGTTTTCCACAATTAGACCTTACCACATTACTCAGTAACAGGGATGGGTTTTGCCAGTGCGCACGCGATCAAATCAGTATTCCGAAATTCAGAAGGCTTTATACCCAGAGTGATACCTGGGTGACATTCTTTTTGTTGATCCATTGCCCCAGAAGAGCCAAGTAAGTTTCTGTTTGTTTTCTCAACATTTTAGCAATTGAAGATAGCGTTTTTCCAACAAGTAATGAAATTCTTGGGGAAAACTTGCTCCCGTAGCAGATCCTTCCCTTTCAGCTCGTACTTTTAGAATAAACCTACATTGAAGATGAGAGCAGAAGCGTGTGATTCATATTATGCAATCCCACATACTCTCTCCTTAGAAACGCTGTCACCAAATATAACAATTGGGCCTTGTTTTGTGGTGTATCCCCACTGCCGTCAGTCTCCTGTGGGATGGAGCACCGCACATCTAGGGAGGCGTTTTACTCGACAGTAAATATAAATCTCCTTTTCTGTTTTTTCCTGGTTAAATTAGCAGTTGTGTTTCCCAATCCATTCTCAGGAGAGGCAGGGATATTTTAAGTAGCTTTATTGGATTGTTCACAATAGAAAATGGGAAGTTTCTCTGAAGTGACTGGCTAGCAAAGCCCCGAGCTCTGCCTGCTGCTGGGGTCGCACAGCAGCAATCAGGAGGTGGTGAGCAAGCAGGTGGAAGTTCATTGGGATTCTCACCCCTTGAAAGCAGCACTACTTAGGGTAGCAACAGGCTAATAACCAAGACAGCATCTGGAGTTGAGCTTGCTCCATTAGGAAGCTGTAAACAGCATATGCTCGTGGTGGGGCTGTTTGCAGTGTTCACAGGAGCTGTGTAATGAGGAGAGGGAAAAGCCTGGCGTGGCTGAGTGGTGAGGCTCAGCCCGCTGGCTCACAGCCGCCGGTCCCGCAGGTACTCCTTCCAGGACGAGGAGGACATGTTCATGGTGGTGGACCTGCTCCTCGGCGGTGACCTGCGCTATCACCTGCAGCAGAACGTGCAGTTCACGGAGGAAACGGTCAAGCTGTACATCTGTGAGATGGCGCTGGCCCTCGACTACCTCCGCAGCCAGCACATCATCCACCGGTAACCCACGTATCCTAGGCAGGAGCTCTTCCCTGGGAGGGTGCTGAGGCGCTGGCACAGGGTGCCCAGAGAAGCTGTGGCTGCCCCATCCCTGGCAGTGCTCAAAGCCAGGTTGGACACAGGGGCTTGGAGCAAGCTGCTCTAGCGGAAGGGGTCCCTGCCCGTGGCAGGGGTTGGAGCTGGAGGAGCTTTAGGGTCCCTTCCAACCCAAACCACCCTGTGGTTCTGTGAAATCTATGATGCTGCCTTTGCTTAATGCTACTGGTGCTCCCAAGTCATGGAACTGGTGGCACTAAGCTGCACTGGCAGTGCAGGTCCTGGGCACCCTCCACTGCTGGTCCTGCTCCCCTGTGGCCCCGATGAAGCCTGACACTTTGCTGGGGCCTGAAGGCACCTCCCCGTGCAGGCTTCAGACTGATCAAGGGCTTCACAGAAACAGGCCCAGTGTTATGTTATTAATTTTTCTTGGAAATGATGCCTGAACAAGTCCCATGCTCCTACATTTTTGCCCAGTTGCCCGGGAAAAGTGTATTTCTAGTCCATCCTAAAGGGACTTAGCTCATGTTAGGCTATTTTTGTTTAAGTTGCTCTTAATTTTTGGTAGATAAAAAAGGTTTCTCGCTGTTGAGTTCATCCTTGATCTGAGATTTCACCCTGCTCTATCCTTGCTTCTTTTCCCAGGGATGTAAAACCAGACAACATCCTCCTCGATGAGCAAGGTAGGATCGCTCAGCCTTGCTTTTCTGCCTCCTTCATTCGAGGGACAGATTCTTTGCAGTCTTTAATACTGTGTGTCTTTTTATCTGGGAAAAGTGTGGAAAAAGCACCATTCCTTCTAAGTGATCAGTGTGGGGCTGAACGTACCTGTGATGCCAGGGCAGGTCCACCAAGAGCAGCCCCTCTCCTTGTTACCCCCACCTCCGTCTGCCCACACTTGACCTCATCTCTCCTTGTGCTCCAGTGTTCAGGTCACTGTGCCAGAGCTGCGGTGCCTGGCATCACGGGAGGGCTCAAAGCACAAGGATGGGCTTCGGTGGGTTTTAGTGTGTGATCTGCACGTGCACTTTTAGTCTTGATGTCTTCTTGGGGGGATGCATCGGGGCTGAGACAGCTGGAGTGAGTGCAGGAATCTTTATGAGAGCATCTACTGGTAATAGTCCCAGTAGCCCATGCAGGTGAAACACCACAGCAGATCCTACAGTGATCTCTGGTCCAGTGGTAGATCTAAAAGACGCAGCCTCTCAGGACAGCAGGATCCAACCCATCCAAGTTTTACCATAAACCCTCGTCAAAACTGAAGCTTGCACAGAAGTTAATTAGAAGATAACGCAGGGCATAAAGCCCAAACAGAAATGGGAAAAGGGAAATGTAAGGCAGATTCATTGATTTACACATTTACACACCGCTTTCATAACTGCCTTGTAGATAGAGAGCAGAAAGGGTGAGTGGCTGGGTTTGTGCATACCAGGCCGGCCTCAAAAGGATGACCCATTCTGAATGTCAGCTGTCAGTCCTGATGGCAGAGAAGGTAGAAGCAGAGAGAAGGTGTCCGGCACTTCCCCAAATACCTTAGTGATTCCTGCACACAGCCCTGTGGTTTGGGAAGCATTGCCATGATTTCATTCAACTGGCGTCTCCAGAGCTGCTGCGGTCTGTACAGAGAGGCACTGCTTTTAGCTCTGGGACTTTGGGGTGCTCGTGGTTCAACAGCTTTCATCAAAACCAGTGCTAGGGTCTTAATCAATGAGACAATTGATGGGCAATAAAAATGATAAGGCAATAGCTTAGTATAGTGGTTCCCTGTTGTTGTATTTGACTGTAGGTTCTGGCCAGAGGCATTTGAGCAAGTGCTGGAGCTGGTGTGGGCTGCTAGTTTGGTTTAAAATCCAGACCCAAAGCTAGCAACCATGAAACATCTACAGCCTGAGAATGCTTCAGGACCTGTTATGGCTGTTCAGTGGTGTCTGACCCTGACCTGACTGTGCCTGTGCCGCACTGTCAAGGGGCAGCAGCTTATAAAGCAAATGTATTCTGACTCCATTGCCACTGCGATTAATTCCTTCTTAAAATCTGTCTCTATTTAAGGTCATGCACATTTAACAGATTTTAATATTGCAACAATAATTAGGGACGGTGAAAGAGCAACTGCATTAGCTGGAACAAAGCCATACATGGGTAAGAAAGCTGTTCTTTCCATCTATATTTTACACTTCAGGAGCATTCACCGCATGCCTGACAGTGCCTGCCTGAAACAAAGGCACTGAATGAATTCAGCATGTTAATGCATGTGCCCAAGTCATTCAGTGAGCCTGAGCCTTGACAAGTGAATGAAGCGCTGTCAGCATCAGCACACCCTCCCCATCCCACCCTGTGCTGGCTCTCAGTGCATGGTTCCTGCCATCCCTCAGCTGGGAGCGCTCTCACCCTGCCTGCAAACCCTTCCCACGGGCAGTACTAGTGCATCAGGATAACCCTGAGGATTCCATACTGCCTTGTGTGAATGCCGAACCAGAGACAGACTGAAGCCAGCACGTAACCTGTTGCATTTTGCCCTTTCTGTCCAGCCCCGGAGATCTTCCATTCCTTCCTGAGCGGCGGGACGGGCTACTCCTTCGAGGTCGACTGGTGGTCACTGGGAATCATGGCATACGAGCTGCTGCGGGGCTGGGTAGGGCTCCCCGACTGCTGAAGAACACTGATGGGCTGCCGAGGAGAGGGAATTTCTTCTCATCTTTCTTCTTTCCCCCCAGAGGCCGTACGACATCCACTCCAACAACCCCGTGGAGTCTTTAGTGCAGCTCTTCAGCACTGTGAGCGTTCAGTACTCGTCTGCCTGGTCAAAAGAGATGGTTGCTCTGCTGCGGAAGGTAATAGTCCTGCTGGCGTGGTTTACACCCCACAGTAGCTGCAGCGTGTGGGACTAGCTGGAACGTTGTCAGCACATTGATAAATAATGTAAAATTGAAATAGGACTGATTTTAATGACTTTGTTCAGGCTTAAGCACAGATTAATCTTGTATTTTGCTTGTTTATTACCCCTGCAATAAGATGCATTATGTTTGGTGCAAGGGAAGGAGAAAGGCTGATTTTTGGTGTGATGATCAAATTCCTACCTGGGCTGGAGCTGTGCCCTTCCAGCATCCCCTCTGTGCCCATCATAACCTGCAGAGGCAGCAGCGTTGGCACAAACAGCCCTGTGAGGCTGCCCTGGCTGTGTTCACTGCTCCTCTCACCAGTTCTGCCAGCCAAAGGGTCTGCTTTGGGTCGAGTTGTGAGACCAGCCTGGGGTGTCCATACGGATGGGACAGTTTGCTGCCTTCCTTCTGCTGCTGCGTGAAAAGGTTGTTGACTTGGTGTGGAGGCTGTGGTTTGTCTTCTTTGTAGCTGAGTAGTGTGTTATTAAAAAGATTCCCTGACTTCATGGTGAGCAGACAAGTAACACTGATGTAAGTCAGTGTTGGGTGGACACTTTACATACAGTTTTTGTTTCAATGAGAAGCTAGGTTCTGATGCTGTCAGTGATGGCTGCTGCAGAGCATTCAGCAGGTTCACATTGCCATCTGCTGGGCTGCCCATCATTGCAGAATCACAGAACCCCAGCCTGGTTTGTGTTTGAAGGGACCTCAAAGCTCCTCCAGCTCCAACCCCTGCCACGGGCAGGGACCCCTTCCACTAGAGCAGCTTGCTCCAAGCCCCTGTGTCCAACCTGGCCTTGAACACTGCCAGGGATGGGGCAGCCACAGCTTCTCTGGGCACCCTGTGCCAGCGCCTCAGCACCCTCACAGGGAAGAGCTTCTGCCTAAGAGCTCATCTCAGTCTCCCCTCGGGCAGGTTAAAGCCATTCCCCTTGGCCTGTCCCTACATCCCTTGTCCCAAGCCCCTCTCCAGCTTTCCTGCAGCCCCTTCAGGCACTGGAGCTGCTCTCAGGTCTCCCCTTCAGGAGCCTTCTCTTCTCCAGGCTGCCCCAGCCCAGCTCTCTCAGCCTGGCTTGCAAGGTCTGTCCCTGGCATGGGGGGATTGTGCTGGGGTACGAGCTCTGGACACTAGGGTGAAGGGCTGTGCACCATAGGTAGGCACAGGGAGGAGCAAACCCGTGCTGGTCCAGGAGCTCATGGTCCCAGAGTTGTTTCACAACCTCCAGAATATGTTTCTAGTCTTATCTTTCCCTACAGTGATTTCCCTGTTTCCTGTGACAGAAAGGTTCCCGCATGGCTGAGCCACCCGAGTCATCCCAAAGGCAGGATGTTGGTGGGCTCCTCAGCCTTCTCCTTTGACAGGAATGCTTTTCTCTCCCCAGCTGCTGACAGTGAACCCTGAGCATCGCTTTTCCTGCCTGGCCGACATCCAGGCCTCGGCGTACCTGTCCAGCGTGGTTTGGAGCGACGTCTGCAGGAAGCAAGTGGAGCCAGGCTTCGTCCCCAACGTGAGTAGGAGCGATGTGTGTCCAGCCCTACGCAGGGGCTGCTTCTTGTTGGTTTGGAACCGCTGCGTTCAGCAGAGGCTTTGTGATGGAGAAGTCGTTTCCGTTTGCCGCAAGTCTCTGCAGTGCCTGACGCCTGTGTCGTGTCCTGTGTCCCAGCAGAAGGGCCGCCTGCACTGCGACCCCACCTTCGAGCTGGAGGAGATGATCCTGGAGTCCAGGCCCTTGCACAAGAAGAAGAAGAGGCTTGCAAAGAACAAGTCAAGGGATAACAGCAAGGACAGCTCACAGTCTGTAAGTGCTTCCTGGGGAAAGGGCTGAGGGCTCAGTTTGGGTGTACAGCAGGAGCTCAGGGCAGGCTGGACGGGGCTCGGAGCAAGCTGCTCTAGTGGAAGGTGTTCCTGTCCACGGCAGGGGTTGGAACTGGAGGAGCTTTAAGGTCCCTTCCAGGCCAAACCAGTCTGGGATTCTATGATCCTAGTTACTGCAACAACAAAGTAAATGAGATTGATTTTGATAAAAACATTTGCCAGTGGAGTCTTTCTGCCAACCAAATGTTCCTTTTACATGAGTTTGATAATCTGTACTCTGAAACACAGTAATTTGTGTTTTGGAAATAAAAGCAGCAGCTCTGGGCACATTGACCAAGAGAGGAGATAAAGAACCACATCCATGTGGTCTGCACCTTGCCAAGAGGCACTGCCCAGTGCTCGTGACCGGTGCCGGTGGCGTTACCTGGCAGCAGTTTACCAAGCACTGATGGTGGCCGTGCAGGAACATCCACTCCAGGTTTGGGTACTGCTCCTGTTTGCTGTCGCTACATGAGCCAGGGATGAAGCTAGAGACAAGGTGCATTTGTTCCTTGATTTCACTGTGGGAATCGTGATGCGCTGGGGAGGCAAACACGAGAATCCCAGTTTTACAGAGCAGACACATCCCAGGAGTAAGAGCAGGAACCGGTCCTGCAGAAAGCAGCTGGGTTGTGGTCAGTGGTGTGTGGGGAGGCCTGTGAGGGCAAACACACGTTACCAGCCCTGCTCCCTGAGCAGTGCAAGCCCCAGGCTAAGGGAACACACGCTGCTCCTGCAGCGCGGTCTGAGAGCAGCAGGGAATGCCAGGTGGGATTTTGCCTGTCTCCTTGTCTGCACCAATTAACTGCTAGATCCATCCCCTCCTCTGCAGCGGGAGCCAATGCTGCGATCAATGAGGCTTACTGGAAACGGGTGAAGAAGGAATCGGGAAGTGAGGGAGGACAAAAACCCAGAATAAGCAAATTGCAAGCACCTTTGGCAGGGTTCGCTGCCTGGAGGGGTGAGGGTGCTTTGCCTGCCAGGACCCATGGCCAGCAGGGCCCCAGCCATGGCCATGGCTGGGGGTGCAGGAACGGGCACCATGGGAAGATGCTGCCTGTGCAGGAGACAGGCACCCATGCGGTGGTTGGAGCTGGAGTGCGGCAGCAGCTTCAGAGGAGGTCTCTGCACCTTGGCAGAGGTGATGCAGGAGGTAAAATGAAGGCAGAGATCAGGAAGGGTGGGCTGTCCAAGCCAGTGTGCAGCCCTCTGGGGTGCAGATGGAACTGCTCATGCCTGTATTGTTTTTCTTCAACAGGAAAATGACTATCTCCAAGAATGCCTTGAAGCTATCCAGCAAGACTTTGTCATCTTCAACAGAGAGAAGTGAGTCTGTATTTTTTATTTGCTAAGGAAAACCAATTCTTTTTCCTGACTTCCCTTTGGAATCAGAGTGCTGGTGCCTCATGGCCGGGAGCTTCTTGCTGCCAGCTCAGCCCTGGGTGACTGATGTGAGCCAAGGAGCTCAGCTGATGCCTCTGTATGAAAAGCAGTTCTGACCAAAAAGGGAGAAAAGATCAGGGATTATTAATCTCTGCCATTAGATAAAACATGCTGCAGGGAGACTGCTGGATTTAACACAGGTATGGGACACTGCTTCCGTTCCCCCATGCACCTTCTCACCCATCCTGCTTTAGGAGAAAGCTCCCTCCAAGTGCCTGCCAGGAGGATGGAGCCAGGAGGGGCTGGGCTCTGCTCCCAAGGAACAAGGGATGGGACAAGAGGAAACGGCCTCAAGCTGCAGCAGGGCAGGTTTAGATGGAGCTGAGGAACAATTCCTGCCCCAGAGGTGCTCAGGCATTGGAACAGGCTGCCCAGGGCAGCACACTGGAGCGTTGGGTTCAGAAGTAAAGCAAGAGGGAGCCTCATGGAGGAGGTGATGGAGGGCAGGGAGCCTGTGCCGAGGTCCGGGTGGCCTGAAGCCTTGCAGGGCGTTGTGGAGGGTTGCAGAGGTTCCAGTGGGTTTTGCTGGTACATCAATCCCTGTCATGCCCGTGTCTGTGCTCTGTGCTCCTGCTGTTCACCACAGGTGTGCTGCGAGCACCTCTTGAGGAGCAGGGGCACACTCAGCACTGCAGACCCCATTCACACCTCCTGCTGCGCTCTGTGTGATGCCTGCTTCCTGTCTCCACGCAGGCTAAAGAAGAGCCAAGAGCAGCCCAGCGAGTCCGTGTTGCCCCCTGAGACCACCGATGAAGGCGAGACGGAGGCCGAGGCCGAGACCTCCAACCTGACCATGTGCAGCTCTGTGTGCTCCACGGCGGGCAGCAGCTAGGCTGCAGCATCCTGCGCCACGCCAGGAGCATCCTCAGGTCGTGCTGAGCACCACAGGGTGTCCCCCGACACCCCGCAGCACCCACATGGGTCTTGCAAAGCTGTAGCAACAGAGACGGTTCTCACAGAGCTGCACCCTGCAGTTATGGATCACCAGTGGGCACATGGGCTGCCTGCCGTGGGTATGGGTACTGCTATGCAACGTGTCAGAGGAGGCAGAGCAGCTTCTTCACGTGTCCTTTCTCAGTGTCAGGTTGCTGACCTGATCTGCACATGGTTTTGGTACAGTGACATGGCAAGAAAGGGAGTCACATCCTTGGGTACAGCCAGGGAAGGCACCGAGCAGGTGTGGAGGAGGCCGAATGGGGGGGTGTAAGTTTTCCGTTGGCATTCCCTGTTGGCAAAGGTGGCTGTGGGGACCAGCAGCCCTCCGTGTGCAGCACCAGCACCTCTCCGGGCTGTGGCGGGTGGCACCAGCCTCCTGGGAGCCTTGGGCTGGTGGGTCTGGCAGCATCAGGATGTCCCAGGCACGTCCCTGTCCTCGTCACCTCTCAGAGTTTCTTCTCCACCTCGGGGCAAACAGCGGTGTTTGTGCACTCCATGAGTTCTGCAGGGGTTTGGGCAGGATGTAACGTGCAGGTGAGGTGCAGGATGTAATGCACAGGTGAGGTGCAGGATGTAATGCACAGGTGAGGAGCAGGATGTAACGTGCAGGTGAGGTGCAGGATGTAATGCGCAGGTGAGGTGCAGGATGCAATGCGCAGGTGAGGTGCAGGATGTAATGTGCAGGTGAGGTGCAGGATGTAACGTGCAGGTGAGGTGCAGGATGTAATGCACAGGTGAGGTGCAGGATGTAATGTGCAGGTGAGGTGCAGGATGTAATGCACAGGTGAGGTGCAGGATGTAATGCGCAGGTGAGGAGCAGGATGTAATGCACAGGTGAGGAGCAGGATGTAACGTGCAGGTGAGGTGCAGGATGTAATGCGCAGGTGAGGTGCAGGACGTAATGCACAGGTGAAGGTGCAGGATGTAATGCACAGGTGAGGTGCAGGATGTAATGCGCAGGTGAGGTGCAGGACGTAATGCACAGGTGAAGGTGCAGGATGTAATGCGCAGGTGAGGTGCAGGATGTACCTGAATGTTTGATTTCTTCACGTGCCTGCTGTGAGTGGTGAGGAGCTGTGGGAACAGACCTCGCTTGGAGGATGCCGTTTACCACAGGCTCAGGTTTTATTGGAGCAAAGTGCTGGCCTTGCAATGCTGCTCGGTTATGAATGATGGGAAGATCTTATTTCACCCTTCGATTCACTTTCTTTCCAGTGTAAACTACAAGTACTGTATATAACTTACCAATTCCTGTTTTAGCTTCTTAATGAGACAGGAGCTCTTGCCTTGCTCTGGCTGTGGCTGTTGGCTTTCTTCTTGTTTCAGAAGCCTTCACTAGTTGCTTAATCTGTAGAGTGGCTTTTGGTTGCTGCTGCTGAAGACGAGCGGTGGGTTCCGCTGCACCTTGGTGATACTCAGGGTTGCAACACGGCTGCGCTCACTGTCACACTGCCAACACCCCTGTGCTGCCAGGTTAGCAGGGTGCAGCTTTGCATCCTCACTGCCTGTTCCTGGTGCAGAAATGGGTACAAGATGTTTTTAACAGATGCAGACGCTTTCAGGACAATTTTTGATGTGTTTTTTGTTTCTGTGAATAAAAAAGGGAAGCTGGTACAAGACAGTTTATATGAAACATGACACGATGCATTCCTTTTCCACAGTTTTATGTGGAAATTAGTGCATGGCTCAAATCCTGCAGAACCAGATTCCCACAGGAGTCTGTCCAGGAGGTGCTGGGTGTGCAAGCATGGCTCCCAGGAGGGAAGCCAAAGCTCTGCCGCCCATTGCACAGTTATGTTCGGGACAGAGCCAGGAGGATGCTGTTGGATGTGATGAGCATCCCGACCTTCGGCCTGGATAGGGACCAGGGTCACCCTGTGGGGTCCCAGCGCTGCTGTGGGCCCTTGCACAGGGACACCTCATGCCTTTTGAGGAGCTGTGTTAATGACAGGCTGCAGGGAACAGCTCTCAGATGAACACCGTCCCCTGATCCGGGCTGTGCTGGGGGACCTGCCCTCCCTGCCCTGAGTCATTTCCAGTCTGATTACTGGGTAACTCCATTACCCTCATCACCCAATTACCTGCTTCTGCACATCAGAGCACCTGTGTGTGCCTGTGGATGGGCTGTGTGCTGCTGGTGAGCAGCCCCTGCTCCTGGGGGGACAGCCTGGTCCTCGCTCCCCTGCTTCCTTGTGAAAAGAGGCTTTGGACAAGGGCCAAGGGGAATGGCTTTAACCTGCCCGAGGGGAGACTGAGATGAGCTCTTAGGCAGAAGCTCTTCCCTGTGAGGGTGCTGAGGCGCTGGCACAGGGTGCCCAGAGAAGCTGTGGCTGCCCCATCCCTGGCAGTGCTCAAGGGCAGGTTGGACACAGGGGCTTGGAGCAAGGTGCTCTAGTGGAAGGGGTCCCTGCCCGTGGCAGCTGGGCCACAAGGAGCAGAATGAGGGTCAAAGCATGTATTTCTTCAGGAATTATAAATGAGAGGTGATTTGCTCCGTCACTATGGATAAGGTTTGCCAGCACACTCCATTGCACTATATATCATACCTGTAAATAACGGCAGAAGTATGGCGTATCGGTACGACAAGGAGCATAACTTGGGTTTTGAGCAAACCACCATGTATACGAGAGGTGCACACAGATCCTGTTCAGCCAGAAGCTCTCAGGCCAGAAGAGATGTACCAAGCCAGTTTGGTAGGACACGGCTAATGATGTGTTTTCATCCCTTTAGGACAAGTGACCCTTGAGGTTGAGGCTGATACATGTAGGGAGGAGCTGGCTCCCTTCCTTAATGGCTGTTCCTCACCCCAAACCCTCTCCATGTCAGTCATTTCTGTTCCCTTTTAGCTAAATCATGCAGAATATCCTCAGCAGCACTTGGCAGATGCAGGGAGAGCTGCTGGGGAGACACCAGGTTGCTCCTTCCCAGGGGAATTAATCCCGGAAGTGCCACTGAAATCCAGCAGCGCATCTCCCAGGACACTGCTTCTGCCTCAGGCTACTTCTAAACCTTAACCACAGAGAAAAGTGAGAGGACACAGACCTTGGGATCATTGCACCGAGGAGTAAGGACACCAGGAGTATAATACAACTGCAGTACTCACTTTCGATCTTCGGTAGTGCATGGGTGTAACTCCAGAAGTGCCCATCGGGCTCAGGCTTTACTGATGCCTGCTCATGCCAAGCCCCTGGAGAAGAAAAAAGAAGCAAAGAGGAGTTGAAAAATGGAAAAACGATGGGAACAGCTTCACGTTTGCTTCCTTGTCAGAACCTCCTGGTGGGTGTCCTCCATCCCCACTGTGCCTCTGGGTGCCTGTTCTGTTGTGTCCCAGTCACCAGCCCATGCTGCTCGAGGTCAGCACCGCACATCCCACAGCTCCTTCTGGGGCTGTCCCGTGGGAAGCAAAGCCCATCCACGTTGTGTGTGGGACAGGAGCCTCTTCCCCCCTGCGCTGTGCTGGCGGTGACCTGCTGTCCCGTGCAGCTCCAGGTGTGAGCAGAACTCGCAGTGAAGTCTTGAAACCCTCCTGGTACCAAACCCCATTGCGCAGAGCTTGGAGGAGTCGGTAGCAGCTCTGGTTTACACCTCCACTACAACCAGAACACGATAATTCTCTGTATGTAGATATTTAAATACAAGTATTTTTTGTATGACAGATTTATACAGGGTGTGCCATTATCCGCTGTGAGAAGTCGACGTCACCTATAAATTATCCTCCTTCAATTCCTTGCCATAAGATTGTTCATTTCTCTCTGTTGTATTCCGAAGTTTTGCAAAGTTGCAGATTTTTCAGTGTGTCCATCGAATTCCACAGACTCCACTGGGAATTTTGCGTAGAAAACAAATGCCAGATCACGTCCTGACATTTCTTCTGTTGCCAAGTCTTTCTTACTCTGCCTTGCCAAAAAGAGAATCAGAGTAATAAAACCATAGCAAAAAGGCCAATAATATGAACCTGACACTGGACAGTGCTGAAATCCTGATGCCTTGGTAGGGTTTGGTTTTAATTATTTCAGTGGAAATCTATGTAAAGGAGATCTGTGTATTTTATGTTAATACATTTCTGTACTTCTATTGCATGAGGGTTTTACCATGTCACAGAATAGTTGAGTTATGACAGGTTTGTGTTTCTGCAGGTACTGCAAGGAGCCATTGCGTATGTGGAGTAATAAATGTGTTTTTAACATTGCCAGGTCCTTGTTGTCACTTCTGGGTCATTGAGCTGTAGAAGAAAAACGTTGAATCTTACAAGAAGTGAATGCTTTAATTACCTCCAAGGGCAGGTTGGACACAGGGGCTTGGAGCAAGCTGCTCTAGTGGAAGGGGTCCCTGCCCGTGGCAGGGGTTGGAGCTGGAGGAGCTTTAAGGTCCTTTCCCACCCCAACCAGGCTGGGATTCTATGGTTCTGTGGATCGATGAGCCACCTTAGAAACTGCAAAACAGGCATTAAAAGGGGGAACACTGAACCCAGGCATTTTACAGTGTCCCACTTTCTGGTGTCAGTGAGTGACCCTGACCCTGCTGAGCACTCACAGCTGCAGCTCACTGCCTTTTAGTATTTCACTGCCCAGCCCTGAGGTTTGCATCTTAAATGAGATAAAAACAGCCCCGGGGAGCTTGGGGAGGTCTCTGGTTTTCCTCTTTCATCCCTTGTCAGTACTTGGAATTATTTATTGAGGCTGTTGGTGCAATGTGCTGGCTTGCTTTACCTGGGGGGCGAAAAGCAGCTCAATGATGCTCTACATCTCCAAAGGCTCTTCCTGACTTCAAAAGAAGTGGTGAAGGAATGAGACAACCCCCTATCTGAGCCTTCACTTGTCTCTCTCTGCAGAGCCCTTTGCTGGTGGTTGGCAGCCCCGTGCCCTGGCCGTGCCCAGTGGGATCTGGTGCCTCTGGTGTGACCCCTCGGTGTCCCCAAGGGCACGTGGAGCACACAGCGAGCAGCAGCACTCACCCCTTGCACAGGAGGAGGTGACAGGGTGAGGACAGATCCCCACACACAGCCCTTAAATTACAGGGGTTGAAGTTACCCAGCCGCCCCGGGTACCTTCTACTGAGGAACCGACTGTTGGAAGAGGAGTGTTTCCAGGACAAAGTTTGTACAATTCCCTTGCTAAGTGCTCCCAAGCTGGGATTGCTGGGGTATCCCTGTCACCCAATGGATGCCTGGGAGGTTGAGAGAGGTCACTGCCAGCAAACTGGAACTTTAATCTTTCCCTGTGTAGTTTCCACTTTAAAAACTCTGTTTAGAAAGAAAATAAACAAGTGTTCGATAGTCTTGGTGCCGTTGCAGGAAAACCCAGAAATCCAACAACTGACATTAAATAACTTGTTTAAAATGACATATAAAATACATGAACAAATGCATTCCGACAGCTGATGCAGAAATCACTGCAGGTCATTGCGTTAAACAATGACACGTAGGTCAGATCAGATAATCAAAGAAACCAGCAAAATAACATCCCCTCCTGGTTTAAATGTGTGAGCTCAGGTGCATTTATTTGTATTTACCTTGTGGGGCAGTGTACCCAGAGCTGCCAAACGGTGCGATTTCAGCTTCCACCTTTGCAGCAGATGCTTGCTCACGTTTCCACAACTCCTTCGTTCCCTTTCTTGTTCCCTGCTTTCAGAGCGAGCTGGAAACCAAAGCACAACACTGCCGGAGGGAAATCTACATCCCACAGGCACGTTACAGCATCTCTTACTGCATCCACGTCCCGCAGGCATCGGTGCTGGCACTGACCTGGTGGGGAAAAGCATCCACCCTAGTGGCATTTCAGCTTTATTGGCAACCCAAAGGCTGTTGTGTGACACCAAATCCGATGGAGCAGCCCCCTGCAAGCGTGCTGGGTCTCAGCAAAAGGCGGGGATTCTGCGGTATTCCCACATAGCTAATGACAAAGCTCTTTCCATTGGCAAAGGGGAGTACAGAAACCTACGAGGCATGAACTCACGGGTTTTGGTTTCACAAACCCTCCTGTGTAAAAACCCCAAAGGAAGGAAACACAAAACTCAGGTGGATCAGCCACTTCCACCATTTCATGGTTTCCGACAAACTTTATTCAAGGCAAGGAGCAGAACGAAAGGCGAGCCGTTCGTCAGAGGTACATGCATAGCTGTGTGGAGAGGTTCACCCTAACTGCATATACTTTAAATATAATCAACAGGCTACAATAACCTTTATAATAGAGTCTGTCCTGTGTAGCTGGCCTTCGGCTGAGCTGGTTACTGGTGCTAGGACATGGTGCTTGAAAAACAGTATAAATAGTCTTTAAAAAATGAGCCTAACAGCAAGGCTGCAGCTCAGCAGCACATCGGCCACGGTGCAGGACCCAGCACCCACCGCACCCACCATGCCAGTACTGTGACAACGCAGCACCGATGGACATGGGGCCATCACACACAGCCATGCTGGACATGGGCACTCCATGTACATATTAAATCCATAGAGTCAGAAGTGCTTATTGGTTAAAAGTCCTTTGACTACAAAGGGCAGTTGCTGCTACTAGAAAAGGAGCCTGTTCCAGCCAGAACGCACCTTCAGTGCAGCCCTGGCAGTGCTCAAGGGCAGGTTGGACACAGGGCTTGGAGCAAGCTGCTCCAGTGGAAGGGGTCCCTGCCCGTGGCAGGGTTGGAGCTGGAGGAGCTTTGAGGTCCCTTCCACCAAATCCAGGCTGGGATGGCCCCAAGGCAACACACTGAGCACGCTGCCAAGGGCACACGTAGGCGCCTGCATGCACAGGGAAAGGCTTTCCGAGGAGCTAGAGAAGAAACAGGCGGGAGGGCTCGGGATGGGAGCGCTACCTCTCGGGGTTACTCTAGGTTAGGTTCTACCTACAGGGAGGGCTGGGGCAGCTGACGGACGCTCACTTGTCCCCCCCAGCTCCAAGGTCCCACCGCCCCTGCCCAGCGGGACACGGGGACACCCCGGCAGCGGCCGGCGCGGTGGCACGGGGGGGAGAGCGCGGCCCCAGCCCCCATCAGGACAGGGAGGTGATGTTGGAGCGTCCCCCCGGCGGGGCCATGATCTTCTGAGCCGTGCGGCGCGCGATGTGGTCGTCTGCCTGCGACCCTGCGGGACAGGAGAGCGTGGGCAGGAGGGGCACCGCTTGGAAGGCACAACCGTAACACGTTTCCCTGGGGGAAATACCCATCCCTCCACTGCACCTCCCTGTGGACACTGCATTACCATAGCACAGCGTGGAATGTCAGTATTT